CCCCCCGGTGTCACCCCCCGGTGTCACCCCCCGGTGTCACCGACCCTCGTGCTGTCAGCCCAAGGGGGAGGGATGTCCCCTCCTGCCACCTTCTGCCACCTTCTGTCACCCCCTGTCCCCTCCTGAGGTGACAATGAGGTGACATTCCCATCCTCAGGAGCCACCTCGGGGTGTCCCTGGTGGCACAGAGGTGACAAGGGGGTGACGTTGTCATCCTCAGTGGTGTGGGCTGTCACCTCAGGGTGTCCCTGGTGACACTGAGGTGACAACAAGGTGACATTGCCATCCTCAATGGGTCCTGGGGTCTCCATGGTGACACTGAGGTGACACTGAGGTGACATTGCCATCCTCAGTGGTGTGGGTTATCACCCCGGGGTCTCCATGGTGACACTGAGGTGACAACAAGGTGACATTGCCATCCTCAATGGTGTGGGTTATCACTGTGGGGTCTCTATGGTGACACTGAGGTGACACTGAGGTGACACAGAGGTGACACTGAGGTGACAATGAGGTGACACTGAGGTGACACGGTGCCATTCCCGTCCCCAGGAGCCATGTCCTGATGGTGTGGGTTATCACTGTGGGGTCTCCATGGTGACACTGAGGTGACACAGAGGTGACACTGAGGTGACACTGAGGTGACACTGAGGTGACACTGAGGTGACACGGTGCCATTCCCGTCCCCAGGAGCCATGTCCCGGCGGCGCTGAGCCTCGCCGGACCCCTCACCCCGCCATGGGGAGCATCTACAAGGAATACTTCAACCGCGACAAGATCCGCGAGCACTACAACTTCACCAAGGGCGACACCGAGAGCGCCCTGGCGCCCTCGCGCTGGGTGGGCTCCGTCCTCATCGTCCTCCTCTGCTGCTTCATCGTCCTGGAGAACCTCCTGGTGCTGGTGTCCATCTGCCGCAACAAACGCCTCCACCTGGCCATGTACATCTTCATCGGCAACCTGGCCGCCTCGGACCTGCTGGCCGGAGCCGCCTTCATGGTCAACACCCTCCTGTCGGGCAGCACCACCTTCCGCCTGACGCCGGTGCAGTGGTTCGTCAGGGAGGGCACGGCCTTCGCCACGCTGGCCGCCTCGGTCTTCAGCCTGCTGGCCATCGCCATCGAGCGCCACGTGGCCATCACCAAGGTGAAGGTGTACAGCAGCGATAAGAATTGCCGCATGGTGCTGCTGATCGGCGCCTGCTGGTTGATCGCCGGCGCCATCGGGAGTTTGCCCATCATGGGCTGGAATTGTATCAGCGATTTGGGGGATTGCTCCACGGTGCTGCCGCTCTACTCCAAGCGTTACGTGCTCTTCGTCACCACCATCTTCACCCTCATCCTGCTGGCCATCGTGGGGCTCTACACGCGCATCTACTGCGTGGTGCGCTCCAGCCACGCCGAGATCGCCTCGGCGCAGACTCTGGCGCTGCTCAAGACCGTCACCATCGTGCTGGGGGCCTTCATCGTCTGCTGGTCGCCCGCCTTCATCATCCTCCTGATGGACGCCTCGTGTCCGGTGCGCTCCTGCCGCGTTTTGTACAGCGCCAATTATTTCTTCGCCTTCGCCACGCTCAACTCGGCGGCCAACCCGGTGATTTACATGCTGAGGAGCAAGGAGATGCGCGGCGAGTTCCTGCGCGTGCTGTGCTGCTGCAGCCGCGGCCGGCGGCGCTCCAGGCCCCCCGGCCGGGCGGGGGTCCCCTTACGCACGTCCAGCTCGCTGGACAAAGGCGCGGCCGGAGCCGCGGCCGAGCTGCCCACGGCGCCGTTGACCAGAGAGTGCACCACGTGTGTGTGAGGGGGGTGTGGGGGGTCTGAGGTGGTGGGTCACTCTGGGGATACCTCGAGGTCACCTCATGGATACCCCGTGGCTCCATGGACACCCTGGGGACACCCCCAAGTGCATGGGTCACTCTGGGGATACCTCAAGGTCACCCTGGGGACACCTCAAAGTCTGTGGGTCACCCCATGGACACCCCAAAGTCCATGGGTCACCCTGGGGATACCTCAAGGTCACCCTGAGGACACTCCACGGCCACCCCGTGGACTCATGGACACCCCAAGGTCACCCCATGGCCCCAAGGCCACCCTGGAGACACTTCATGGACACCCCCAAGTCCATGGGTCACCCTGTGGACACCCCATGGCCTCAAGGCCAG